TTGAGCCCCTCACAGACAGGACCCTGGTGAGATTTTCCCCTTTTCTACCCAGGACACAGTGGCTATATCCAAGGCCAGCTGGACTGAGCTGCTTCACAGGAAAGTGAACTTCTCAGCATTTGACCTCCTGGTGCCTGTCTTCTAGCGTCACAACTAGCCAGTTTAGGTTCTGCTACTGGGAATGTTGGTTCTGAGTGCAGTCTACACGTACTGTGTGTGTGCATGCACTGCGTATGTGTGTGTAACTGGGAGTGGCGTCCTGCCAGGAGGGAAGGTTTGGGGAACACTGGGTGCTTTCTTTCCACTGGGATTAGGCTCCTTGGAGCATAGGGACTGCCCCTTGGGGACACTGCCACTTGTATACCAGCTTTCTTTGGAGGCCAGCAGTTGGTATGGCTATGACTCAGGGATGCAGCAAGCTCCTTGTCCTGGTGTTTGGGGGACATGCTCACTCACCTCAGGGCTATGAGGCAGCAGGCCTGCGGGGGTACCGCAAGCACCCACATCTTGGGAGCATGGCTTCCCCTCCTACCAGGTTAGGTGAGTGTGCTGGGGGTCAGGGGAAGCCTTCTGTGCGTGAATGCCCTGGCTTCCTTGGTGTGGGCAGGAATTTGTATCTGTTAAAAGGTGGAGGTGGCCTGTGGTTGGAGCATTGCCAGGAGCTATTAATAGCTGAGTGTGTAAAGAAGCAGAGTCTGGGAAAGAGAAAGGAATGGGGGAGGCCCCTGGGTCTCCAGCTGGCAGCAGAGCCTTGTGGTGAGGGAGGGCATGGAATGTCACATATGGCTCTGAACACAAAGCTCTTGTAGGCATTGTGTGATTTGATGGGCTGGGGGTCATACTGGGAACTTGTGTTATGAGGAATTGTCATAGGCAGTAGGGGCAGGTGTGGTTCTGATGTAGCCAAGTGTGCCAGGCATTGTTCTAACCACTCTTAAAGTGCATGAACTCATTTAGTTCCTGCAGCTACCCTAGGAGGTAGGTACTGTCATTACCCCTTTCACAGATTGGTTAGGTAACTTGCGTAGGGTCACACATAGCTGTGAAGTATTGGAGTAGGACTTGAAGTCTGGCTGGCTCACGGCTGCCATTTTTTCCCTGGATTGCCTGTAGGAGGATCTGGTCAGATGGTGGTCAGGTGACATCTTTTTTTTTTGAGATGGAGTCTCGCTCTTGTCACCCAGGCTGGAGTGCAATGGCATGATCTCGGCTCACTGCAACCTCCACCTCCTGGGTTCAGACAGTTCTCCTGTCTCAGCCTCCTGAGTGGCTGGGATTACAGGCACCCGCCACCACACCTGGCTCATTTTTATATTTTTAGTAGAGACCAGGTTTCACTACATTGGCGAGGCTGGTCTGCAACTCCTGACCTCAGGTGATCTGCCCACCTCGGCCTCCCAAAGTGCTGGGATTACAGGCGTGAGCCACTGTGCCTGGCCCAGGTGACATCTTGAACCCTTGGGTCCTTCGAGATTTGGAACTCCCAGCCTCTTCACTTGGGTCCTGCCCATGGTAGTGGCAAGGGGGTGGTCCCTGATTTACTGGCTTGGAGATAGGAGGCTACTCTGTTAGCCTCCCTTGTTTGGACTCCTAGCTCAGCACAGGGGCTTGTTGCTTGTGTGAGTGGAGATGGAAACTCTTTGATGACCAAGGGCTTGGGTTGCAGGCTGAGGCCATCCCTCCTTGTTGTCCCTCCTTTTGAAATCTAGCTCTAGCCCTGATACCTACACCCTTCCGTCCATCTGTCTGTCCATCCATTCGTGATCTGTTTGGGATGATTCTGCCACTCAGGACAGCAGAGGTCCTGCCTTGTTCAGCTTTCCAGTCTTGTGGAGCAAGCCTGACATTTAGAAAGCAGTTGTCGAGTGCATGTATAATGTTTGATTTCTCGTCCAAGTGTTCATTGTGTTATTTCCTCTTGGAGATAATTTTTGGTTATGTTATACTTTTTGGTTATGGTACACTTTTTGGATGTCTGAAATGTTTCTTTAAGCAACAACAGGCCATTAGTCAAGGGTGGTTGAGTTAGGCGACAGGGAAGCACAAGGGCCAGTGGAAGTTGAGAGCTTGCCTGGTCTCAGGGGAGAGGGAAGAGCTGAAATCCAGAGGAAGGTGGGAACCTTACAGCCGGAGCTGGTAACTTACGACTTATGCTAGGCCTAGAAGCCCAGCTGATTTGAGCGAGTGTGTGACATTGTGGTGTGGCTGCAGTGAGGGGAAGGTAGAGGAGTGCCCAGCTCATTCGAGCGTGTGGCATTGTGGTGTGGCTGCAGTGAGGGGGAAGGTAGGGGAGTGCCCGGCTCATTTGAGGGTGTGACACTGTGGTGTGGCTGCAGTGAGGGGAGGAAGGTAGGGGAGTGCCCGGCTCATTTGAGGGTGTGACACTGTGGTGTGGCTGCAGTGAGGGGAGGAAGGTAGGGGAGTGTCCGGCTCATTAGAGGGTGTGACACTGTGGTGTGGCTGCAGTCAGGGGAGGAAGGTAGGGGAGTGCCTGGCTCATTTGAGGGTATGACACTGTGGGGTGGCTGCAGTCAGGGGAGGAAGGTAGGGGAGTGCCCGACTCATATGAGGGTGTGACATTGAGGTGTGGCTGCAGCGAGGGGAGGAAGGTAGGGGAGTGCCCAGCTCAGTCGAGGGTGTGACATTGTGGTGTGGCTGCAGTGAGGGGAAGGTAGGGGAGTGCCCGGCTCAGTCGACGGTGTGACATTGTGGTGTGGCTGCAGTGAGGGGAAGGTAGGGAGTACCCAGCTCCCCTATCTGCAGTGCAGCTTCATGGCTGGCCCCACAAGTCTCAGGCCTCCACGGGCCCCACTAGAACTGCTGCTGAGGATGCAGTGCGGCCCAGCCTGGGGAGGGGAGGCCCTGTAGCCTCTGGCCAGGGTGCTTTGAAAAACCCCGCCATTGGATGCCGCTACAGGCAGACAGAGGCATCGTAGGTGCAAGCCTCAGACCTGGCCCCGGTGTGCTCGCTCCGCCTTTGGTCTGCTACCTCCACCCACCTTCTTGGGTTCTCCTCCTAAACCTTAAAGCCACATGCTTGATGAAGGGCCTGGCTGGGGAAGCCAGTGTGTATCTTTGTAAGCCTCTCTGTGGGCTGAGTCCCACTGACCGGCTGGTCAGGAGGCCATGTGTTTTCCCTTTACAGGTGTCAGAGCCTAGGCTGTGCGGTGCAGGATGACCAGAGCTGTGGCCGGGCACTGCCAGTCTGATTGGGTGATATTTTGGACCTTGGGTGCTACCCGGATCCTTGAGATTAGTTGCTTACTCCTGAGCCTGGAAGAAGCATCCTTTCACTGCAGGGAGATGCCGAAAGGGGCTGGGTTTGACAGGGGAATGGCTGCTCCGGCGGGGGGCTTCTTTCCCCTGACAGCCAGTCAGTGTCCTTCTCCCTGGGGCGTACCCTGGGAAATCATGCTCTTTCCTCATGAATGTCACCAGTGCAGATGGAGAGGAGAATGAGGATGTCCTTGGGCTACGCTAGTGTTCAGGTACTTTGTCCTCCCCCAGGGTCAGGGCAGGATCCGTGTTCTTGCCGCTACAGTCAGCCTTTCAGGCTGATGGTGAAGTAGGGCTCTTGGCTGCTGGTGCGCTGGCCGGCTGGCTGGTGGGATTGACCCTGACCCCTCCGTCCTTCCTGGGACAGAAATAGTGGTAGGAGAAGACCAACCAGGGGTGGTGCCAGGTCACTGGCTTACAGTGGGCCTGAGAAGTGTGGACAGGGTGTCTGCATGCTCAGTGCTAGTTCCCTGTCGTCTGCGTGGGGTTCTGGCAGTGAGGTTGTAAACACCATCACCTCCCTGTATTGTGTGCAGCCTGTAAAGGGATGATGGCAGAGCTCTCAGACAGAACCGAACCTCCTTTGGCATCTCCGTGCTCTTTCCCATCTCAGGGCTGTGTGGTTCCTGGGGGTTGGAGGGGTAGGTTGGGGTGGGGACTGGAGGTTGTCTTACAGGGGATGGTGAGGAAGATGGATTTGGGGAATGTTCGAAACCAAGTTTGAAGGAAAGTGTTTGAATGAGCAGGTGGGGGTTGAAGTGGCCGTCCACCTGGATGGCACTTCCTGCAGCAATTGGAAGGGGTTCAGCAGTGATGGGGAGTGTCCTGGGGTCACCAGGAGCCTAGCAGGAGAATTATCTGTGATTGTAGGTTAGGCCACCAGATAGCCATTCTCTGCCTGAGGCACATATTCCCCTTGGTGACTCTGGGAGGCTTACCCTGCACATGCAGGCCTCATTCCTTATGTTCTCCAGCCTGCCGCCTACCAGGTGTGGTTGTTGGGTTTGGAAAGGACGTGTAGAGGGTCCTTGCAATTCAGTTTGGGTGGGGAGTTGTGGAGGACCCACTGACATGGTTTCCCTGGAAGACTGTGGTGAGAAGGGGACAGAGACAGGAAGCAGCTCCCCTTTGCATTTTCCCAAGTGGTCCCTGAGATCTGTATCACAGTCACCTGAGACAGACAGGGGTGGTTAAAAGCACAGATTCTGCCACATTCCCTTTGAGATGGTTCTGAATTGGGCCCGGAAATACGTAAATACATATTTGAATAAACACTGCTCCCCTCCTTGATGCCTCCAACATACAGTGATTCTGATGTGCACTGCGGTTTTGAGGACCCCTTCATCAGTTTCTGCTGCAGCCGGGAAGTAACGCTCACCCACTCCCAGGAGCCTCAGGTGTTGGTGCCCTTTCTGTACATCGGGCCTCTGTCTGTCCAGCTGATTATCTACCCTTCTGTGGCATTTGATTTCCTGCCTCTTCCCTTTTGCTTAGACAGGGCAGCTGTGATGGGTTGCAGAATGAGATGGGGGCTGGTGCTGGCTGGCACACATAAATTAAGAGGTGTTGGACGGATGGGTGGTCCACGTCCAGGGGTGAGTGTAAGGGTGTTGGTGACCTCAACCCACCACCTAGTCTCCTTCACTCAGGGTAGCCTGGCATCCGGGGGATTGGGTGGTGGTCCCAGGGGCATGCTCAGTGGTTCTCTTTTCTCTGGGACACAGGCTCTGGGCGTGGGGAGGCTGAGACACGGGAGTGCATCTACTACAACGCCAACTGGGAGCTGGAGCGCACCAACCAGAGCGGCCTGGAGCACTGCGAGGGCGAGCAGGACAAGCGGCTGCACTGCTACGCCTCCTGGCGCAACAGCTCTGGCACCATCGAGCTTGTGAAGAAGGGCTGCTGGCTGGACGACTTCAACTGCTACGACAGGTACCCCGCGCTTCCCTCCTTTCCTCTTGGGCCCACCTGCACTCACACTGCCCGCTGGGCCGTTTAGGTCTCAGGATGTGCTGAGCGGGAGACGAGGGACCAGAAAGGGGTTCTTGAGATGGTAGCCAGGGCCCCACGCCCTTCCGTACCCTGTTTGTCCTGCCCCAGCCCTGAGGACGGGTCTCAGTGAGTGTCAACCCCTGGCTGTTCCCCTTGGCTTTGGGTCTCCTATAGGGGAGGTGAGTTCATACTGTCCCTCTTATGTTGCCCACAAGGTGCTCTGTCTGTGAGGAGGGGTTGGCAGGGCAGACCTGTGGGAGTCTTGCATCCCCCAGGTGAGGGGTGTATGGAAAATTCTGTGCCTCCAGGCAGGAGTGTGTGGCCACTGAGGAGAACCCCCAGGTGTACTTCTGCTGCTGTGAAGGCAACTTCTGCAACGAGCGCTTCACTCATTTGCCAGAGGCTGGGGGCCCGGAAGGTGAGTGGGCAGTGGGAAGAGGGGCCCTGAGTCGGCTGACCTGGGCCTCTTTGGCTTGGAGCTCTTGGCTCCTCAGTTGGGTGGGGAGTGGCTAAAGGGCCCTGTAGTCTGGCTCTGGAGGTGTGAGGATGGGCGGGCTGTTTGACACAGGGCTACGTGTGTCCCCTAGTCACGTACGAGCCACCCTCGACAGCCCCCACCTTGCTAACGGTGCTGGCCTACTCACTGCTGCCCGTCGGGGGCCTTTCCCTCATCGTCCTGCTGGCCTTCTGGATGTACCGGCATCGCAAGCCCCCCTACGGCCACGTGGACATCCATGAGGTGAGACAGTGCTGGCTTGGGGCAGGGCAGGGTAGAGGTGGGGAGGACAGGCCAGACCTTATTAAGCCTTGCTCTCCCCTAGGACCCTGGGCCTCCACCCCCATCCCCTCTGGTGGGCCTGAAGCCACTGCAGCTTCTGGAGATCAAGGCTCGGGGGCGCTTTGGCTGTGTCTGGAAGGCCCAGCTCATGAATGACTTTGTAGCTGTCAAGATCTTTCCGCTCCAGGTGAGTGAGTGAGGGGCTCCATCCGGGTCCTCTACCTCCACTGTAGCTTGAACTGGAGCCTCTCCTGCCCTGGGGCAATCCAAACCCCGAATACGTTGTGGTATAAGAGAAAAGTGAGTCTTACTGGGCGTAGTTACTCATGTTACATTGGCTGGTCTGTCGGTTTCATGCAACTGTGGGATTTCATCATAGGACTAGGGTAGGGCTTTGCAAAACCATGATTTACCCCGGTTTCTAGGGTTTTGTTTTTGATATCAGGTTCTTTCCAGAGGCCCTGGACACCGGGTCTGGCTCTGTGTGTCATTTGTTGGGTGATACTGTGCCACTTTGATTTGTAAGTCAAAGTGCTAGCCTTACCTTAAGTGATCTTGGGGTCACTGTCGGCCTAAAGCTCCGGGGCATAACTTAATACTGGTCTTCTCCTGGTCCCCTTACAAATGCTGAAGCTGGTAGGCTGGGGGTTGGGGAATGGGGAATGGGGAATAGGGAATGGCTTTTCTGCTGCAGGGCAGTGTGGCTATAGCAGGGCTAAGTTAGCCACCTGTCCCCGCAACCCCTCGCCCCCGGCCTCAGGACAAGAAGTCGTGGCAGAGTGAGCGGGAGATCTTCAGCACACCTGGCATGAAGCATGAGAACCTGCTACAGTTCATTGCTGCTGAGAAGCGAGGCTCCAACCTTGAAGTAGAGCTGTGGCTCATCACGGCCTTCCATGACAAGGTGAGCCACATGCATCAGAGTGGACTCTCAGAGGAGATGGAATGTCCCCTTGGTGGCTCTCCGTAAGACCCCTGCCCTGTGTAGGTGTCCACGACCCCATTAGCACTGTCTGTGATGAGGTTACCCCTGCCATAGGTGTGGACATAGGTGCCCCTGTGATAGGAACCTCTCACCCTGGGATAAGTTCTTATTGATAAGAGTAGTGACTGCATGGTTCCCAGCCCCTAGCCCTTCCTGCCTCCTGGCGTCATCTGTCTTCCATGTCAATTGTAGTAGCCTCCCAGGAAGGCAGCCTAGCCATTGGCCCACTGAGACTTCTCTGCCAGGGCTGGTCTGGGTCTTGTTCTGTACCCAGAGTGCTTGCTCAAGTCCTGTGCTGTCTTCTCTCAGGGCTCCCTCACAGATTACCTCAAGGGGAATATCATCACATGGAATGAACTGTGTCACGTAGCAGAGACGATGTCACGAGGCCTGTCATACCTGCATGAGGACGTGCCCTGGTGCCGTGGCGAGGGTCACAAGCCGTCTATTGCCCACAGGTACCTGAGTCGGCAGGTGCCTTTCCTGTACTTGGCCCAGAGCAGTAGGGAGGGTTGGTGGGAGCGAGAGCAGTGTCTGGGGATGTCTTAACTTCCTACACATACTTATTCTGCTTGCCCCTGTCCAAGGCAGCGGGGCACAAACCTGGCCTTCCCCCTGTGTCTTGGGGATGGCATGGCCTCCCAAGCGGTTTTTGGTGCCCTCTAATGGCCACATGAAGTGCTGATTCCATTACTTTGGTTGGAGGGTTGGCTCAGTAGCTCTCAAATTTTCTAGTTTAGGACCCCTGTATACTCTTAACAGGACTTTTGTATAAGTTGATTATGTCTTGATACTTGCTGTATTCGAGCACATCCGTACATCCTATTAGCTGTCAGCGTGATGACATCACATCTCCTGTAGCCTCTGGAAAACGATACTCCTAAGAGAATAAGCCTTAAAAAAGCAAATAAATGAAAATAATTTTGACTTTATAGATTCCTTTGGAACAGTGTCAGAGCTCTTCTGGGGTCCTCAACCATAATTGAAGAAACTCTGGGTGAGCTTATCACTGTCATGCTTACTAAGTGGCAGGCAGCGCTATAAATAGTTGAGAAGTATCAATTCATGTAACCTTCATTACCACCCATTGAGACAGGTACTGTATTTCTCAGCTGTGACTTGCAGATGAAGGAACAGTAGTACAGAGAAGTTGAATGACATAGCCAAGGTCCTGTAGCTAGTTGAGTCTGGTTCTGTGACTGTGAGGGAGGGGAATGAACCTCAAATTCCAGCATTCCAAGCTGAAGGATCCCTGATGGTAATAACAGTAATGACGTAGAAGGTTGCTGTACGAAAGTGCAGTTTTTGTAGATCAGAAGGTTGGATGTTGTATCCACTGTATGGCTCAACTTCACAGGAGTACCTAGTAAGGACGCCAGGTGTGGCCCTAAGAATTTACACTTACTACTCAGTCGAATCCTCACAAGGCTGAGGCAGCCACTGGGGAAATTGAGCAGCATAAGTAGCTTTGGAGGTGGAGCTGGGTACTTGGAACAGCACCCTGTTCCACCCCACCTTGGTGGTGAGCTCAAAACCCTAAGGGGCCTCTGCAGGATCCTAGGAAAGCTAATACTAAATTCCTGCATGCCAAACACTGTAAATTCTTCTCAGAAAACTCGCATTCTAGGCCATTGTGCCTGTCCACAACCGCTCTGAGAATACATGGGCTGGCCTTTGATAGTGTGGGGACTGGGCCAGGGTGTGCCCAGTCATTAGGGTAGGTATTGCTTTGCCAGTCCTGGTGGAAGCCTTCCACTGAGGTGCGCAGAGGGATTCTCACAGCCATGCGGGCTCCTGCAGTGGCCTGCCTGTGCTGCTTCACCTCTGCGCTCCAGGTAGGGTGGGATGACCTGGTTTGGGGGCTGACTCGAGGGCATATATTCTGGTATCTTGGGAACCAAGGTGGGAGTTGGATCATGAAGTTCAGCTTCATCTCTGCCCTCTTGTCTCCACAGGGACTTTAAAAGCAAGAATGTATTGCTGAAGAGCGACCTCACAGCCGTGCTGGCTGACTTTGGCCTGGCTGTTCGATTTGAGCCAGGGAAACCTCCAGGGGATACCCATGGACAGGTAACAAGCCTCACAGGGCAGGAAGAGAGGGGCGGGCCCCGGGAAGATGCTTTGCCCTTCTGTGCTCAGCTGGTGAGGTGCAGGGAGGAGGGTCACCGCATGTGTTCAGAGCTGTCTGAAAACTCAGAACAATGCTCTTGTTTGACCAGTGGAGAAACCAAGACCAGGAGGGCGGTGTAGCGTAGCTTCCCCAGGACAGTCAGCTGGGAAACACAGAGATTTCCCCTTGGGCTTTTGACCACTAGTCCTCATAGTCTTAATGTTTCTCTCACTTTTTTAGCTTTGATTCTTGAGATAAAACAGAAAGAGATGTACTAAGGATCCAAACAACCCAGGAAAAGTAACTAAAAATTCAATTTAGGAAATCATTCCTAAAACAATCACTATTGCTTATTTTTAAGTATTCTCCTTCCCTGGTTTTTTTTTGGTCGTAACCTCAATAAAATACACATCGTCTGTAGTTCTTTGTATTAATTTGGTAACAATTCCATTTTAGATTACTATTATCTCCAGGATATGGTATTTAAAAATTATCATCACCCAAGTATAATTGATCCTGTGACCTATTGTAACTGCTGTGAATGTGGTGAGTCGAGGTTTGCCATCACTGATAAGCTGTCCAGATTGCTCTGTTTTGCTTCCATCTGGTGCACAGAGGATGTAACTCCCCATGTCCCAGCTGTGTGTGTATGGCCAGTCACTGTAAACCCTGCCCTCCTCTGTCCCCACATAGGTAGGTACGAGACGGTACATGGCTCCTGAGGTGCTCGAGGGAGCCATCAACTTCCAGAGAGATGCCTTCCTGCGCATTGACATGTATGCCATGGGGCTGGTGCTGTGGGAGCTTGTGTCTCGATGCAAGGCTGCAGATGGTAAGTAGGATGGCAGCCCTGGGCAACCTAGGTTGGAGGATAGAGAGCAGCGGGACCTTGGAGTGATCCTGCCAGGCTCTCTCTGACTCCTAGGACCTGTGGATGAGTACATGCTGCCCTTTGAGGAAGAAATTGGCCAGCACCCTTCATTGGAGGAGCTGCAGGAGGTGGTGGTGCACAAGAAGATGAGGCCCACCATTAAGGATCACTGGTTGAAACATCCGGTAAGGGGCCCAGTGCAGGCGACTCTGCAGTGGGGTGGGGAAGGGAGAACCCTTCACATGCAACAGGAAGCTGAAATCAAGTGGGAATGGGCCAAGAGAAAGTCTGCTACATTCCCTGGACTCTAGGGATGTGTTCCAGGGGCTGTGGGGAGTAAGGTAGGGGGGATGATCTCCTCCAGATCCCTACTTTGACTGAACTGCTACCTTTTGGGTCCTTGTATGGTTTGGGCTTTGAATAAGATTTTGTTTGAATATCAGTGCTTCCAGGCAAGTAGCCATATCTGCCCCAGTAGGGTCCTGGATGTCTCCTCCCTCCTATGTATGTTAAGGTTCAGTGAACCTTTCCTAGGGCTGTGGAGGGTGGCCAGTAGGCCAGGAAGATGACTGCCATGAAGGCAGGCATGCTGATTCCTGAAGTTTTTCCCAGGCCCCTGCTGGTGGACCTGCTGCCTTGGTTGGGGCCGGTGGGCTCTGCCTGATCCTTGGGAGCGTCATGTTTACTGTCCCCAAGCTTTTCCTCATTGAAGGGGCCTAACAAAGGTGTCTTTCCCGTCTCCCCTCTGCTGCTCAGGGCCTGGCCCAGCTCTGCGTGACCATCGAGGAGTGCTGGGACCATGATGCAGAGGCTCGCTTGTCCGCGGGCTGCGTGGAGGAGCGGGTGTCCCTGATTCGGAGGTCGGTCAACGGCACTAGCTCGTTTCCCTGGTGACCTCTGTCACCAAGGTGCACCTGCCCCCTAAAGAATCAAGCGTCTAAGCCCAGGACGTGAGTGTCTGTCCAGACTCAGTGGATCTGAAGAAAAAAGGAAAAAAAAGTTGTGTTTTGTTTTGGAAATCCCATAAAACCAACAAACACATAAAATGCAGCTGCTATTTTACCTTGACTTATTATTATTATTATTATAATTATTATTATTATTATTATTAATATTATTTTTTGGATTGGATCAGTTTTTACCAGCATATTGCTCTACTGTATCACAAACAGCGGACACGTCAGCAGGCGTTGCGGTGCTGAGCTGTGAATGCAGAACCAGCGCCATGCTGAAGAGCCTCAGCCACCTCGTGTCCTTTGGGATTCATTTTTCCCGCTTTCTCTTTGTTCGTCGTCTCAGAATCTGTGACACAAAGAAACCCATCTCCTGTCTTAGGAAACCTAATGCTGCAAACTCTACCTAGAGGAACCTTTGAAGACTGTTACATAAGAACATACCTTCCTCAGAAGAGGAGTTTCCTCTGCCCTCTGCCCTCCTCCCCTCCCTCTTCCCTACCCTCCTTTTATTTTGTTTTAGTGAGCTTAAGAAACAGCAGATGCGTCTTTCACGGATCTAACGGGTGTTGTCCTGACTGAGAGAAAAACTGGGATGAGAATGGTTTGGACTGGAGTTGGAAGGGGAGGGCGGTGCTGGGGTAGGGTTTGGGACAGAGCTACACTGGACTCGGGCACATTCGGAGCAGCATCCTTTGCTATGGAGGCTACTTCTCAGGTAACCAGGAGTCGAGGGGAAGGACCTTGTGGAGGCCGAGCGTTAGCAGTCAGAGCGGGGTTTGGAGAAAGCCTGAGACTCGGGGCAGCCCTGACCTACCTGCTGGCCCTGACCAGTTTCTTTTCACTAACTTGGCCTTGGGCATAGGATGAAACATTTTTTTTTCTGCCCTAATTTTAAAGTTAGGTGAGGGTAGAATCATCACAATTTAGTGAATATGTTCTTCATGAGACACGATGCTGTAAATACCCTTGATGAAGGAAAAGTTGAAATACTTTTGTTTCCTCTTGGAGCAGTTCAGGGAAATGCCCGCAGGGGGTCATCCTGCACAGACAGGGCAAAACGATTCCTGAGTGGAGTCTGCCAAGGCCTGTCTCTCTGGGGACCCCAGAGTCCTGCAGCTCTGGTTCCGCCCCAGGTGGTGACATTACTGTCTCCTTTCTGTGGCTTGTGGACAACTTTCTCCAGACCCCTTAAAGTGGTACATATCCTAAAAAACGGTTTTTCTATTATGCCATACCTTGCTCTAGTCAGTGAATGTTCCTAATGCTGCTGTTTCAACATTCGATTTTTTTTTTAATTTATGAAACATGCTAATTTTTTTTTTTTTTTCAGACAAAACACACATCCACATATACACATGCTTTGCTATGTGGCTTCCAAGGTTTAAATTTTGAAAAGTAAAAGAATTAAAACTTCACGACCACAGATCACCTCAAACCAGAAATACCTCAGAATTTTCTACTTGTGTAAGGTTTATTATATATTTTGTTAGTTGTGTTGTCTTGTAGTAAGTATATTTTAATGTAAGTTGGCTTTTATGACAAGGAAGTTTAAAAGAAATAGAGAAAAAGAAACACGTTTGCATCTTTTAGGAAGTGCTACCATTTTTGTTTGATAATGCCCTCTTGTAAATAGTTGCCATCAACTGTAGGTTGGCTGTCTGGGCCAAGTCTGCGCTTTCATCAGTTTTGTTTGTGAAGGCTTTTCCTAATGGTTTCTTTAGATCATTTTATTTAAAAATAGTGCATCTCTTCATCATGAGGGTAGGCAAGGTGGGGGCCATGGGGCGAGGTTGACCTGATGAGAACTGAAAAGGCCTCCCCCTCTTGGGTTGTTGGGAGCTTCACATGTAATTCACATGTAATATATGTGATCGGTCAGTGTTCAGAATGACAGGTAACTCCACTTAAACTTGGTAGAAGGATGGCCCTTAGACCTGCATGGGGTGATTTTACTTGAGATTTGACTTCTTCAGCAAATTAGCAGCAACATTGGAAGAGATGTGTGATGCCTCTGTGAAGCACACCGTGACTCGGGTCCGTCATCTAGTGCAGCGTGTCTGAGAGAGAAGGGTTTCTCTCCGGCCGGTCTTGGAGTCCATAGTGTTGGGGGCACTGCACACGCCCGGTCATCTACCTGCCGTGCTCTGTGCAGTGTCTGGGGCTTGCTGCCCTGGGTCCTTTCCTCTGGGTGTTGGGGCTCAGGGGGCTGTGTGAGGCCCGTTGGTTCCCTCTCAGAGCTCAGTTTTTGCTTCATGGGTCAAAATGTGGGCTGGCCAAGTAGTTACAGGAATAGCGTTTTGGTAAGCTATGTTGTCTTTTTTCTTTTTTTTTTTTTTTTAATGGTTTGATTTTGTGCTGTGGTATTTTTCTTCCCTTGGAATAATTTTTAATGGCAAAACAGGCCTTACAGCAGTTGCTTTTCTTTTCCATTTATTTCGTTAAGAAGCTTTAAATATTGATCGAAAAGTGCCATATCTAATTTCTTTAGCTTTCTCCTCAGGCACTGTGGGCATCTTTACTTTTCATCCTCAGAAGAAACAAACCACTAACAAATGTAGCAGATTTACTGCAGGAATAGTCAGATCATGATACTACCTGAACCCTAAACCCCAGCCTCTCGGTTCCGTTTTGGTTCCTCTGGGGGGTTTTTCTTTGTGTGCTGGCTTGATTCTTGTGAGAAGTTTTGACCTGGCCAAGCGGGGGTTGAGCCATGGTTCTGGTGTGGGACTTTGTGGTCAGGACGTGGTACAGACAAATCAGGCCTGCATGCCTTTTCCCTTGGTGGCCTCCCTCTAGGCCCACCCCACACTCGGTCACGGTGGTGTCCCTGGGGGGCCTTGCCATCAGATGGTGTGTCAGGAGATGGTGCCTGTTTGGTGTGGCTGGGGAGGGGGTGGTCCACGCCAGTTCCTTGGGCTTCAGGCTGCTTTTGCCCTCCTGCGTGGTGCAGGGTGCACCCGTCAGGCGACGTATCTGGCTGCCGATGGCAAGAAGAAGGTGGGGGTCTCCTTACAGGGCATGGCTCTTGGAGCACAGGTGGGCCTTTTGCCCCAGGCAAAATGTTTGTTCCCCGTCGTCGTTCTTTGAGGAGTAAGCCATCTGGAGCTCTACTTTTGAGTTTACTGGGTCATAGAGCCTCTGCCTGTACTCTTTTCCATAAAGACTTCATGTGACACGCACTTTTGGGGAGCTCAGATCATTGCTTTCTTTTTGTTTTTGACCTCAGGCTCTGTGAAAGACTGGGGAAATGGGGCCTGGTATCATTTTCCCTGTCAGTGGAAGGGGCTGTTCCATGCAGGGTGGCAGGGGACCAAGTTAGCAGAGAGTAGCCAAGGATCCTTGCTGCTCCCTTTCTAGTGTGCTGTCATCCAGGCAGTCCCCGGGCTGTAGGGATGGGCCTTGGGGAAGAAAGTGTCCATGATAACTGAGAAGTCATCCCTAGCTGGAGAAATCCAGCAATGAGCAGAAGGAGGAAGAAAGTGAGGATAGAGGCCGTTGTGTTACAGTGTCCTGCAGAGGGCCCTCAGCGATGGGGCGTTAGGGAAGGCCGTTGACATAGTCATCACAGCATCCTGCTTGGCATATGCTGGGTTTTCTCCTGGGACCATTGGTCCTCAGCAGGAGCTCTTTGCATGAGTTGCTCAGGGGACAAGGGGCTGTCCTGGGGAGAAAGTCACACCTGGCCGTGAGGGAAGATGCTGAGCATGATTAGCCCTGTCCAGCATGGCCCTCTTGTCCTGTCTGCTCTGGAGAGGAGCCTGTGGGACCAGTCCTGCCTGGGGAGGGCATACCCACACATGCCAGCTGATTCTGACTCTGAATTCATCCTGTCTGGACTTGGGTGTGGTTTCTGCAGAACAAGGAGGTTGTCGTCCAGCCTTGAACATCTTCAGGAGGATAGAGACTTCTGCTCACGTATTCTTAGCAAAAGGAAGGGTCTCTCATCTCCAGGCCACATTGATAGTTCTTCCATTGCCCTAAGAGGCTAGGCTGACCCTCTCGAAAGAACTTAGACAGCACAGTACTTCTTCCTGCAGCTGGGCTCTGTCACTTTTCTCTTCAATTGGCCACATTCTTGTTTCCTCTATCCTGCTACTGTGCCCTGTGTGCTCGGGCTGTGTGTGTGGGTCTTTCCCTGGTGGAAGGAAGCTCAGCTGTGTATTGAATGTTCTTCATGTGCTGTGTGTGGCTCAGAAAGCCTGTCACATGCCACCTGTGCTCTGACCCTTGAGGGCGGGGAGGTGGCTGTTGCATTGAAGTGCGAGTATTGGATGACCCTCTTGAAAATAGAATTTTGCCTTTTTTAGTATGCAGTGTAAAGTTCCCAGCACCTATTGGTAACACAAGGGTTTGCTGGTTTTTAAAATAATATAATAAGCAGAAATACGTAAGGTTTTAGAATTGGTACTAGAAGTTGGACAGCTAGTTACTCTCAAGAGCTTCATTTCACTAGAAAAATACACTAATTGGAAAGCAGTTTCCAGGAGTTTGATTTTCAGTCTCAGTTATTTCAGCCTGTTGAGTTTTTGATAGCACACCTTTGGAGAGATGGCCAGACCTGATTCCCATTTCAGGGGCATCAGACTGTACCTTTTTAAGAAGCTCCGTAGATCTGTTCATTTACCCTCCATCCTGGGTGAACAGCCAGAAGGAGAAGGGGACAAGGTGTCTTTTTCTACTTCTCACTGGGATGACATGAATTCTCTTTAGTTAGTGGCTGTTTGCAAATTCTAAACTAATGAAATATTCAATAGCTTACATGTTCAACCTAGTAGTGATGAGTTTAAATCTCAGTTGACAGTAATATTTTACATAAACAGGCCCAGTGATTCAGTTGGTGAACTGTATATCTTCTTAGTTAGATTTGTAAATGTTGATTGAATTCAGGGTTATATGCATAGTTCTTTAAGTTAAAGATTCCAGGTAGTTGATTTGTAACCAGCAGTCTACCTATGAATGTATTCCAAACCTTTAGAAGGTTGGAAAAGTTTTTTGAAATAAGGATTTAGTTTTGTAGGAAAAACACCCCCTTGGAAATTAATTCAGTTGACCCAATAACATTTTTTAAATGATTGGTGGGTCCAAAAGGCCTGT